AGTTGCTGCCACCTAGTGACTGGAAGCTTGTTATCATTCGCGCATTATAGCAGTGGTACACTTACATTGGAAGACCACCCCCACCCCCTGTATAGATACAGTATATATATATACCCTTATTCTGTCTTTGTTGGGTCAATGGGACTTATCGTTCCTGTTGTCACAGTCGTGTCCTTGGCGTGGCTAAGTTCATATTCAGGAATTCCTGTTCTGTTTCCATTGCTCCCTGTTGTTTCTTCCTGGAATTTTGAGCTTTTTGTGCTCAAATAAGGGCAGTTGTGGCTTAGTGGTTAAGGAAGCATGCTAGGGTCCCGAAAGCTCCTGGTTCGAGTCCACCAGCTGCCAAGTTACCACTGAGGTGCCCTTAGCATGACACCGTCTCCACACACTGATGCTGGGGGTGCTTATAAGCCGCCTGCCGTTCACTTTTGTTGTGTGTGCAGTGGTGTGCTGTGTCACAATGCCACTTTCACTTTCACTTAACTTTTCCACCTGATCCCTGTCTCCTGAGAGCTACATTTGGGTTCTGCCTGCTCACCATACATGACACATCAAGCTAAATAACAACATTGTTACATCCTTAGTTGGCCATGCCTGTACTAGTCTATACTAAACACTTTTATTTTTTTTAATTTGATACATGGACTAAAGGAAAACATCTCATTTCAATAAAAAAAGGTACCAGTCCCAGTTTATAATATGCACTAAATATATTCCTCAACATTTGGTAAATGTTTAGCTGTACCGCGCACACACAGTATGAAACTTTAACCTGTTGGTGTTATTCACAAGCAAACATTTCCTTGTTTGCTTAGAGGTTAACTTGTTCCTCAGTCCATGTGTTCAGTGAAGGCAAAGATCACTTTCAGCATGTCTGTAAGTACCACCACATTTTTTATTCTGCAGTCAAGTGGATATATTTGATGTTAAATTATAAGGTATTTTGCAATTTTTAAGAAAAGCTAAGCTAGGAGAGATTTAAATTGAATACGTTTTTTTTTTTCAGGAAAAGAGGCTCCACTGCTTTTACAATACCTTGCTACAGACTTTGAGCTATTCTAAAAATGTCGCCAAACCAGGTCTAGGAAATATTCAGATGATTGAATCCAACACTGACCAAAAAAGAGTTTGGCCTTTTCAAAGAATTTTGCTTTTTCTTTCCACTCTAGCAAGCAATAGTTTTTGTAGATTTAAATAGCATAAATGTTAAATGTTCTCTGAAACTATCATCTTTTGCAATTTGAAGATTTTATTATAAGTTTATATAATAAACTTGATTCAGTAGTATAATATATTATTATATAATATATAATATACTATATATTATATATAACTATTATATATTATATATAATATATATATATATATATATACAATATAATAAAAGTCTGGCACCTCACCCCGCCCCACTATTTGAGAAGTACTGCCTTAGGACAACATTTAGTTAATATAATCTTGTTACTGTGTATTTACCATTACGTAGGTGGACATAGTTGTGTGGTTGTGCCCCGGGTGATGGAACATATTGGATGTAATTCCTCCTGTCACCACAATTGTTTTGTGGCATCCTTTACATGATATAGAGCAGGGGGCACCTGGTAGCCCACGTGGACTACCTAAGGTACTTACTGTATGTACTTAAAATCTAACCAGTCAACAAGAGGGTCAAACAATGCACTGTTACTGTGCTTTTTGAATCAGTTACACGATATGCAACGATATCCAAATGAGGGCAATGACGATAGTAAGAAGAGTGTCTGCAACTGTATGTCCATCCATCCATCCATCCATCCATCCATCCAATTTCATCCGCTTATCCGTTACCGGGTCGCGGGGGCAGCAGTCGCCACCCAAATCACACTGCACCGTACCAACGCCCTAAACCTTCCTGTGGGTGGTGAGTCCACTGGAAGGTACCAACCGCTCTGACTGGGATTTGAACTTGCCCAGGAGATGAACCCTGGGGTTCCACACCAGTGACAGAGACATTGCCTCTGGGCCAAAGCGCCACAACTGTATGTCCCGGAACTAATTATTAATACATTGTTGGGGAAGTCTGTATGAAACAATTAGCTCTTCGTATTACTAAGTGTCCTAAAAGTAGCTCTCAGATTCAAAAAGGCTGGTGATCCCTCATATGGAGTAATCATGACATCCCTACTGTATATACATTTTCACGGTAAATATTAAAGAATAACTGTGTTTTTGTTAACCTTTTCCTTGCCATATACATCACATAATAAGTGGATACCATCTCTGTTTCCAGGGATTATACAGCATAGAAGTGACTCCACCTCCTCTGGGTTTGGAAGCAGCGCATGCAACACTATTTACCAGTGAATCGCTCCACTTTCTTCACGAGCTAATTTCCACATTTGCTGAAGAGGTGGATCGGGTGAGATGGCTGACAATGAGGGTATTTGGTTTTCTGAACAGCAGATGAGTTTTTTCTTCATCTTTTTCTCCATTCATGTCAGGTCCTGTTGCTGCGAGTCTTCAGAAAGGTCCATCTTGACCTTTCAGGTGACCTGCCGAGCTTCCTCGAGGAGACCACATATATGAGGAGCGACCCTACCTGGAGGGTGCTTCCTGTACCTCCTAGACTCCAAAAAAGACATGTGGACGTTGGAGACCTAGCCCCCTGTGATACCAAGCGCTTTATTGATGCTCTTAAATCACCTGCACAAGGCATACAGGTAGAGTAAAGCGGCACAGAGGTGATCTTGAGGTGATGATCCATCTGTTTTCCACGTAGTCAGTTTAATTTTCCTAAAGTGAATGTGGGGGGGGGGCACACAAAAAGCTTTTACGTTATACCGTATGTTGGCTGAGTAATTTGTACTTTAACCCTGCCGTTAAAGTTTGTGTCTGATAATATTTGGGTGGCTAATAACATGTCTTTGTGTGTGTGTCATTGGCTTGTGCCATTCTTTTTTTTTTCATACTCCGATTCTGGGACAAGATGCAATCTGTTGTGAGGACACCGGTTGTGTACAAAATGTGAAGAACAACAGGAGGGGTTAAAATATCATCCAGAAGAACTTCTACATGGCTTTTCACTGTTGTCTGATTCACACAGGTGGACTTTGATGATGGGAACTGTCCTACATTTTACAATCAGATCAAAGGAATTCACAATGTGGTCAAGGCAGTACACAACCAGTTTTCCAGTGAGTTTTTTTTTGTTGTTGTTGTTTGATTGTTTGATTGTTTTTTAAGATTAACATCTTAAAGAAATAGGTTTTTGCCTCAGTTTATCTGTGCCTGTCTCTTTATGAACAGACGTACGCATTTCTCAGGGACCTGTGCTAATGCTGCGTCCTCGTGCATGGAACATGACGGAGCCTAACTTAATGGTAAAAATCACATTAAAGGCCTGGCAATACATGCAATTACATTTCATCTTTAGCTGTAAATACTACTTATTTACAGCCAGTATTTAGTAGAAAGTGGTTGGATTTATTTTTTCTAACATGGTATAGTAGATTTTTTTTTAAGTCCATTTGTCATATATATATTTATCAGTTATAGCTCGGTCTCTATCCTTGTCTATATTTATATGTTTATGTTTGAATTGAATTTGATTTGATTTCTCAGGTGAAGGGTAAACAGGCTCCTGGTCCTCTCTTTGACTTTGGACTTATAATGTTTCACTGTGGAAAGATGCTCCATGAAAATGAAAGTGGACCTTTCTTCTACCTGTCCAAAGTAAAAACACACAGAACTTAATCAAAACAATTGTGTGTGTGTGTGTTAGAATCAACTGAATCAAGTTACTGGTCTCTCAATTTCTTCAGGTTGAGAGTCACGTGGAAGCCAGACTATGGAACAAAATTTTCGTGTGGACCCAGGAGAAGGTCTGCACATCCCTCAATTACTTTACTTCGAATAAACGTTACTTTTTTTTTAACTCACCACGTGGTATAAGACAATTTACCAAAATTAGAAAGGACATTTCACTTTAAAATCCAGAGGTTCTTTATCATTTTTTTATTATTATTATATCCATGAGACTGTGATCTAAGTTCCTAAGAATTTCAAATCAGGCCCCTTAGCTTAGGTCAGGCACAGATAGATGGAGCATTCGTGTGAACTAAGATAAATGACATGTTAAAGTCATAAGGGCTAATATGATTTGATCATTTTCTTGACCATCTTTATCATATCTACGCCATTTGGAGAAGTTTGGCAGGGCGGATTAAAAAGCTGAATGGGCCATATCCAGCCCCCGGTCCTTAGTTTGCCCATGCTTGGCTTAGGTTCTTGGGGACTTTTTTTTTAAAGTCAAGTCAATCACATATCACTTCTCCTCAAAGATGGTTCCTTAGTTCAGACTGTCAGCTGGAAAAAAAGGTCGCATCGTGACATTTCCCATCAGATTCACTACCATGTCCAACCGAAATACCGTTTTTACACAAATTGCAAAATGTTGGTTTAGAATCTTCACTCACCCGGTCTCATTCAAAAGGTAGCATCTTCTTCTTTTTTTTTGGCACCTTCACAGTGTGAAAACAACTGCTTGCTCTACAATTTCAGATGCTAAAATGTGTGCAATTGCTGCGCGAGTCAGCAGTTTGATTGACACACCACTCAGCCTGTCAGCTAGTGCCCAATCAACAAAGTGGCCTATCGTTTTATATGGACTGGCCTTAAAGGCGTGCCCAATGACAGCCAGGCACATAAAGGAGTTTGTTGACAATTAAAATGTAATTTAAAATGAAAAAAATGAAACAAAATCTTCAATTTGCATGACCCGGGACAGAGGCTAAAATTGTTGTGCAATACAACGCGGGACAGGTGGTCACTCTACCTTCAAGGGGAACTGTATTGCTGATCTGGCTCCTTGGTGAAATTGCGTTTGACACCCTGTTCTAAACCTAGGAGGTTAAAAATGGCTACATATACACATTGTTAAAATAGTTAACTGAAAACATTCACAGACATTCATTAATTGTGCAAAAACAACAACAAATTCAATCAGATAAGCTTCTGTAATTTTCTTATGTTATATATGCTTTTCACTGCACATTTGAAATTACATCTCCACATCCCTATACTTGTATCCACTGTCTTTGTAGCTCAGCCTACCACTGGGCAGCATCAAAGCCACTGTGCTAATTGAAAACATATTAGCTGCCTTTGAGATGGAAGAGATTCTCTATGAGCTGCGTGAACATTCAGCAGGGCTCAACTGTGGCATGTGGGATTATTCTGCCTCCTTTGTTAGCAAGTTCGGTGAGAAAACCTCTTTATTATCTATATCTATATCTCTCCTTTTATAAAAAAACATATATGCATGTGTTAGATAATGATTGAAAAAAATGTGTTGAGGTCATGTTTTCTCCCGCAGGACACCGGGAGACCTTTTTACTGCCTGACCGTTCTAGATACATAAACATGGAGGCACAGTTTCTACATAGTTACATGGATTTGTTGGTTCAGACGTGCCATCGACGGGGAGCCTTGGCCACGTCAGGAATGGTTGCAGTTCTTCTCCCTCAGGACCAACATGGTGTAACTTATCAAACAATAATGGCAGCTGTCAACAGGCAGGAACTCCTCACACGCATACAGAAAACCCACAGATGTACAAATGGAACCATTCATGATTAATTAGTGTTTTATCAAGGAGACAGAGGCAGAGATGTAAATCGTGGTAGAGGACGAAGAAGAGTTTTTAAAACTGGCGGAATAGGAACAAGAGAAGGCAGAAGTAAATCAAGAGAAGGGGAGTGCTGGAATTGTGGGAAATGGGGACATTGGGAAAGAAATTGCAGAGCCCCGCTAAAAAGGAAAAAGGACAGAGCATGACTAGAAAAGAAAGAACAAACAGAAGAACATTTTGATGTTATTGAGACATTAGTTCTGAGCGAAATTCTCTTATTTGATCCAAGTAAACCAGAAGTTGAAGTAATAATAAACGGAAAGAAAATAACGTTCTTATGTGACACAGGAGCATGTAGAACTGTGTGCTGTAAAAAATTAAAAGGCACAACAGAATCAAAAGATTTTATCTTTGTTAAATCAGCAAACGGACTACAAGAAGTCAACTGACTAATCCTGTAACTCTCACAGATCCGGAAAATGGAAATAAATGCCGAATGCAAATTATTTTGGCACCAAAGTCCAGTAAACTTATTAGGAAGAGATGCAATGTCACAGTTACGACTAGCGATTGTGCCCGATGAGACTGGTGGAATGACTGTGAAAAGAATAGACAAAACAAACACTGATGTTATGGTTGTGCAAGGAACAGGCACGCCAAACTATTTCTGGTCATTAGATTTGAACACTAGTCCGCTTTTGAGTGTCCCAACAACATTGCTTAGCAAAATAACATAAATTGGTCCTTCGAGCCGGATGCCAACAAATTAAGCAGAACCTAAGGATCGGGTGGAGAACGACTGAAATGATCAGTCTCTCTTTACAAATGTGACCTGTCAGTGACTGTCAGCTGTAAATTTACGATTCAATTAAGATGTGATCACAGGTCAGAGTTTCATAACGTACCACGTTAAATACAAATACAGTGGGGCTTCAAGATGTGAGCTACACAAAACATGGGTTTTCCAAGTTTTTTCATTTTTTTATGTAAGCAACGTTTGCAAGATTTTCGTCGAGATACGAGGAAACATCGAGTTACAAGTGCTTAACCCAGCTCCATTTTTCCACACACTGTCACGTTGTCTCACTCACTGTCCTTCGCTGGGTTACTTTACCATCACTTTTAATTCTCTCTCTCTCTCTCTCTCTCTCTCTCTCTCTGTATCTTTCTCTCTATCATCTACATCGAGTCCTCACTCCCAGTCCTTTTACCACGCTTAGTGGCCGACACTGTCACGCTACCTCACTCACTGTCCCTCGCTTGGTTATTTTATCCTTTTTTTATAACAATAATATAAAATGTTTTCTTAATTGTTATTTTATATTATCAACATATTTGTTTATATCTATATCTTTTATGTTTAGATGGGGGGAATTTAATTTTATTAATTTAAAGTATATTTACGGGGACTGGTTTTTAGTTATTTTCAGTGAGGAAAATGCACTCAAGATACGAGTGGATTGACACACGAGTGCTGTTGTGGAACGGAATAAACGCGAATCTTGAAGCTCCACTGTACTCAAAAATCACTCAAGTCTTCTCTAAGCTTTCTGTTTAAGAGAAAGTACTAAAGTATCAAATACTTTTGCGTGACAAAACTAGTTTAAAGTAGTAAGTTGTACGTGTATCAGATAAGCGGAACACCCTATACACTGAATATATTTTACAATTCTCAAATGTAAAATACATATTGGCGCATCACCAAACAAGATGTCATAAAAAGTACATATGATACCCTGCCCTTTTTAATTGAACGCAAGGCTGTTCTACTCTCAGGAATTGAAGAAAGACACGCAGCTTTGAAACTCTCGCTCTCTTTTTTTTTTTTAGTTTCCACACATCTTAAAATTTTAAATACTAAAATATTAATATAAATCACCAGTTACAGTCACGCTGGCAAACCAAGGTAATATTATAACTAGTAGTAATAGTTTTCAGATCAATTAAGTGAAATTGGAGAATTTTTCCAAGGTACACCTCATGATTGCCCTGGCTATGAATCACTTGCTACTGGCAATTTTGTCCAATTTGAATTTGAACCTAATTTTCCTAAGTTTGTTAAGGCCATTATTTCATTTTTCGGGCACAGCAAATAACTAATTTAAAGCTTGAAGTTGAGGGCATTTGCTGTGCTTCTTTTTCCATCTCTGCCATCATTTCTAAGCCTGCTTCATCAAACCTTAGTTAGTCATGAAGTCATCTTTTTTTTTTTTAAATTGCAGTGAAGTCAAATTATTTCAGTACATAATCCCCTACAGCAGTGGTTCTCAAATTGTACGTGTACCACCAGTGGTACGCGAGCGCTCTCTAGTGGTATCAATCAACAGGCTCACAACACAAATTGACATTTTTTTCCCCTTGTCTTTTAGACAGAAGCTGTTTGAGATCAAGGCTGGTGTTGACGGTTTCCTAGTGTATGACCTGGATTTGATTGAGCCCATGCAGAAAGTAAGTAATGGATTAATGCTGTGTATTCCAGGTAGATACGACAATGACAGGTGTGAATTACTACCTTGTGTCTTTTTGTCTTGTATTTGCAGGGCGCTGTAAAACTGAATAATTCTCAGGGTATAAAAAGTACTATAAAAAGTACTTGTATAGAAAATACGAGATATTATCAACTGTGAGAACAACGGCCTCTGTCAGAAATACAGTACTAAATTAAACAAAACACTTAAGATTTAAACAAAAGAATGGCAAACACTATGTATTTTGGTTGGTAAAATCGAATCCAGATTCTCTGGGAGGTACCATTCTAATCTGCTTTCTCATTTCATACTGTTAGAGTAGGACCTAGATTCATTACCATGCCAGATATCATATTAAATAGTTTTCCCTGGCTCCATAGCTCAGAGGTTAGAGCACCAGGGGTGGTGAGTTCAAATCTAGCTGGGGCCTGATAACTTTTTGTATAGTATATCAGTATATAAAACAGTCCTTGCTAATTGTTGCGTGCCAGGCCAATTGAGCTCTGCACCTTAAAAATATTGCCAGCAACACAGATTTCAGATATAAAAACCAGTTTTAGGGGTGAGCATGTTGCAAAACAACCAAAAATATTCCAGTGCTTGAATTTGCATTACAGAAAAAGAAAACTGAAAAAAGACAGATGCCTTACCTAGTCCCATGGCACAAAACAGGAGAAAAGTGATTAACAGATTTTAAAAAAGCACTTTCACTACTACTACTGCTCACAAAAGAAAATACAAAGGATCAGGCTGCAAAATACTGCTGAGAGAGAAAAAATTGGCTCAGTATCACGTAATGACGTGATACGTTTCACGTCATTACGTGATAAGTTTTATGTTATTACGTGATAAGTTTCACGTTATTTCGTGATAAGTTTCACGTTATTACGTGATAAGTTTTACGTTATTACGTGATAAGTTTCACTTTATTTCGTGATAAGTTTCACGTTATTACGTGATAAGTTTCACGTTATTTCGTGATAAGTTT